GGAGAAGACAGTGTAATCACCACTCGTCTTCCCTTAAAATATATTATTTATTTATTTATTTAATACTTGCTATTTTCTTGCACAAACATAACCATAAAATGGAAACGTGGAAGTTTCTTTTTTGTCTCTCCATACTTCCTATAATATCATTATTCCCTGTAACGAAATAAAAATAATAATTAGCATTAGATATTATGTGCTTTTACTAAGGTAGAGCTCAAAATCAAAAGTTGATTGTTTCAAATGTCCACCCATCTGCCCACATAGTTTTTAGTTAAAGCTTTGGAAAAGTAAAATTAGCATTACATGGGCTCTTTTTAGACACAAATGTAGAGCTCTTTTAAAATGTAGTTTTTCCAACCATCTTTAGCAGATTTTAAAAAAAGAACAATACACCTATTTAAAAAAAAACTTGACATATTGTTAACTTATTTTATATATTTAATGTGTGGCAATTACAATTAATATATATCAACAAATAAAAGCTAGATTCTTCTAACATTTTGTTGCTGAACCTGTTCCAAATGAATGAGTGACAGGTTTTCTGCTATCCAGGAGTATACTGTAGTCACACATTCTCCTTGTTGTACTGCAAGATAAGTGTTATTTCTTCTGCTCCTATATCTTTTTGAGTTCTCTATGGGGTACTTCTGGGTGCAACTGGCTTGTTGCCAATGCTGCCACTTGCTCTCAGCTCTTATTGATTGCTCCCTTCTGCTTCAACCCACAGCTAACTAGCAGGCTGTCCACATGCTTCCTGCAAATCCTTCACCCTGCCTGTGACCAGTCATTTGGGCTGTTTTTTTAGACAAGAGGGCACAGTGGCCTCACTGTTAAGATGCTGGACTTATCAATGGGAAGTTTGGCAGTTTGAGACCCAAGTACCACATGACAGGGTGATCTCCCATTCCTGGTCCAGCTCCTGCCAACCTAACAGTTCAAAAGCATGCAAGTGTGAGTAGATAAATAGGTACCACTTTGGTAGGTCATGCTGGCCACATGACCACAAAAAAAATTTCAGACAATGATGCTAAGCTAAGAAACAGATATGAGTACCACTCCCTAGAATCAGGCATGACTTTACCTTACCTTAAATAAGGGTTTAGCATGAGCTGGCAGGTTACACACAAGGTAGAGAAACACAGGAAGAAGGGAGTGAAATCTATTAGGAGAATGTCTCCTGCTTCAGCCTGCAGCCCTTTTCCACATGTACTTTTGTCAAATAGGACACATTTTTACCTAGTAGCCTTTCAGGAGAACATTAGGTGTATTTTTAAACCAGTGTGAAATGATTTATTCACCAAAGCACATGAGAGCAAAGCAAGAAGTAACAGGTGCTACATCATTAAAAAGAGATCCAACCTAGGCCTAAGAAGAAACAACAATGAGAACAATTAATCAGTGAAACACTTTGTTCTGGAAGTTGTGGGTGCTTCATCACTGGACATTTTCAAGAAGATACTGGACAGCCATTTGTCCAGAATGATATAGGGTCTCCTGCTTGAGCAAAGGGTTAGACTAGAAGATTCCAAGGTCTCTTGCAATCCCATTATTCTACTTTACGTTCTAAGCAGATAGCTATGGTTGTTTCCATAATTTTTATATTCTATTGTTTCTGCTGATGTTTTTTCCCCCTGTTGCTCTTTGCTTGCATTTTTTAAATAGATGTTTGTGGTGGGAATTTATAATCAGCCCCCAAACCTCTTCCTGAAAGCAATACATAATGCAAATAGCAGCAGTAACAAAAGCAAACTGCACGCCTGAATGCATCCATTATAGAACAAGACCTAGATAAATCTGGGGAGGTGGGATTGGCTTTGGAATGAGTTTGAGCTGTAAATCAATCAGTCTGAAATACTTTGCATATAGTGTATGTCCCTTTCACTATTTGGCAGAAATAAGAGGCATTGAAAATATTAGATCTAATCCCCAGAAGAGTTTAGGTATTTTTAATGTATTTTTTTATTATAGAAAAATCACAGAAATTTGAAAAGTGACCCTACCTCTGATCAAGCCCTACTCCCAATTGGAATCTAGCTGGTTTTCTTTTTTCTTTTTTTCCCTTTCCCTGGATTTAACCTGGATTTGGGAACAATCACTGATAGATGTTTTAAAATGGTGTGAATTTAGATTTAGATCTGATACTATTGTGGTATTTACATAACGTATTGACCCACAATTGACAAATGGTATTTTAAAGCACTGAGTTCTCTAGAACTAGTCTGTACGCTCATTTTATGATGCATCATGGAGTTCCAGCTATTGAAACAAATAAGCCACGGTTTAATTAATCCTATAGCAGAGTTTCTCAACTTTAGTAATTTTGAGGTGTGTGGACTTGAAGCTCACTGAGGAATTCTGGGAGTTGAAATCCCACATCTTAACATGGCTAAGGTTAAGAAACCCTGATCTACAGAATACTCAGATAATAAATAGCTAAATGTTTTCACTGTGTAATTCCGCACCAACTTTAACAGTGCATAGTACAAATGCTTCTGATTAAGGATCGGAAGCCACATCAATCTTATGAAGAGAATGGAGAACAGATCTGTCGGGTTCAAACATGTGATGGGAATAGCAGAGAATGTAGCCTGAAAGACACATTCTCTCTGTTTATCTCTAATCCATATGCAAGCCTGTACTTCACAACAGCTGAAAGTTTTTCTTACCCACATTCATTTTTGGCACAAAATAATAATCAAATGCATTTGCGGCAATCTCGTAGTTATTATCTCCAAAGAGAAGGGTGTAAAAACATATGTTGGCAATCTGCTCCAAAGTAGGGAATAAAAATTGTACACTTTTTTTCAAAGTATGGGTTTTTTTTTCCAGATGGAGAGCTTCCAATTGGATGAATCAAAATTTTTTTTCTTCCAAACAAGCTTTATGTGGTAAAAAGTAAAAATGGAAGAAGCAATGGGAACATATAGAAGGAATAAAAGTGGAAGATCGTCTCACTTTGATCTTCCTTAAGATGTCATGAATGATGGAAGCTAATTGCACACTCATGCACATACACACACACACAGGGGGGGGGAGGGGGGCACAAAGCCTAGTCTGGAAGCATCTTTAATTTAGAAAAGTCTGTATGCAATTAATTATCAGGCATTCATATCCAGAAGGCGGGCGCTGAGGCTTGGAAAGAAGACTATAGGTCAGAGCCATGCTTTCCTGAGCTGTTCCTACTTGCCTGGACTGTGAGAGCAAAATGATAAGAAGAAAATCGAAAAACAGGAATCACACAAAGGCAAAAGAGCCCATCCTTTAAAAACAGGCAGACCAGAGGTGGTATTCAGCAGGTTCTGACCAGTTCTGGAGAATCGGTAGTGGAAATTTTGAGTAGTTTGGAGAACCGGCAAATACTACCTCTGACTGGAGATTTTATAGTATCCTTCCCCTGCCATGCCCACAGAACCAGTAGTAAAAAAATCGAATCCCACCACTGAGGCACACCCACCAAGCATAACCCCTCAGCGTCCAGGAATAAATAGTTGACCTTACTCACCATTAATAGTCACATAGCTCATCTTCCCACTGACCCAAAGGTCTGAGGAAACAGCCAGGTCTTCAATGCCTTGCAAAAAGCTAACAGAGTTGGGGTATCCAAATGTCTATGAGGGAACATGTTGTTCCATAGGCAGGTGATGCTACTGGAAAGGCATGACTTCTATTAAACAAGATCGCCTTGTTTAATAGAAGGAATCCTAAGTGTGTGTCAACCTTCCCAGGGAGACCAGACAAGAAACATGACCTGATGAGCTAATTTTACTTTACTGTAAGGCTGCATTAACAGAATCTTGCAAGTCTGAATATATAAATCTTATGCCATCTGACTGTACCTCAGGCAGTATTTCTTTGCTCCATCTCCCAAGGTTTTTCTCACACACCATTGCTGCAATCCCTCTTTACTAGGTCTGGTGGGCCTATGCAATTCAGGGCTCTGGAGATGGTTATGAGCACCTTGAATTGCCCCTTGGAGCCTTCTGGTAACCAATGCAGCTTGCAGAATATATGTCTTCTGGTAGGAGCATCTCCGAGGGATAATCTGACCTACAAAGGCCGTGAAGCATTTTAAAATACACCAAGTAAACACAACCTCTAAAAAAGATCTGTTTGGAAAGCCAATTGGGAACAGGATCTCATCATTTTTCTAGTTTGCCCCTTCTTGAGTTTGCTTGGCTCATCACATAAATGGATAAGCGCATACACAAATACATATAGAGTTATTGCCAGGATATTTCACATAAGGAGGAATAGATGTCATGAAGCTAATTGAACACACGCACACGTGCACACAGGAAGCACCTTTAATTTAGAAAACTCTCTATGCAGTTAATTCTCAGACCTTCATATCCAGAAGGGAGGACCCAATGCTTGGAAAGAAGAAAACAGGCCAGAATCCATGCTTTCCTGAGCTGTTCCTACTTTCTCATATTTGTTTATAATTCACCTAAACGAAGAAGAATATGTGCTTTATTATCTCTATTTAAAAGAAAATTCAAAAAGAAAAAAGGTAGTTTAAAAAAAATGATCTGTATTTGTTAGGAAAGTGGCAACTCCAATTTTCTCTGCCATTGTCTGCCCAACCACATTTGGTGGCATTTATACATGCACCCTTTTGTATTAAATTGTTTAACTATATTCAATTGATGTAAGCATTTGACGGTAGGAATGAAATCGTGTTTCTTTTGGGCTCATTAGGAAGCCAAGTAGAAAAATCTTGAGAGAAACATGGTAATTTCTTAATACTTTCTGCACCTGCCACTTTACTGTGAAAGGTACAGAACCTGCGGCCAGATGAAACATAGTGGTATTAGTTGTATAAAAGGACAGATGGTTTTCCCTTCCGTGCTTCACTTGGCCTCAGCACTTGCTACTACGGGTATTTAAGTTCCCAAAGGTTCTGCTCTGGCCTGGACACACCCCTTTTCTCAGCCAGAAATAAATGTCTGATGTAACATGGATTAGAAACTTGGCATCTCAGCGGGGCAAGATCAAAAAAGTCACAAGAGCAAGAACTTGGGGACAGCTGGGAAGCACTGACTTGGAGAATCTCTTGGGTGAGAAAAAGTGCTGGGAAAAAATCTCTAATCCTCACCTGGGAAGCCTCCGCTCTGTCAAGACTTCACAACAGAGACTCTGCTGTGGTCTGAGTAAGAGCCTGAGCAGGTAGGGAGAACTTTTGCACCTTGCTTTGCAAGGCATTTGTTTGCGGTGTGGCTGCTATGAGAAAACTGTGGAAGATTATGCCAGTCATTTGGACAACCAGTTTTATTTAGTACACGTATTATTGAGGATTAGACAGCCCAACAGGTGTATCTCTCAGAGGGAACAGAGAAACTCTGGTAGAGTTTAAAAAGTAGATCTTTAACAATTTAAGGAATTTCAACAGCTAGTACTGGGAACAAGACCGGATTTATCACAGTACATGAATGGGAAGACCTATCCAAAGCCTACTGCAGATGTATTACATCTGCTTTTCCATGCCAAAGGGTGACCCTTTGGGTGCAGAATTGTCCGCCGGCAAGACTTTGATCTGGGAATGTCAAGTTGCCCAACTCTAAGAATGTAAGACCCAGCATTAGAAAAGGGCTGCTAGGAGATCATCTGAAACCTAGACGCCAGTAAGGAAGAGAATTTGGGACTGCTGGCTTATCTTGATGAGACCTCATTGATAAACACATATCATGTCCAAAAGAGCAGATGAGTCTATATTAAGATTCCCTACGTTCATCTAAAACTGATGGTTTCTCACTCAAATTACTAAAGAAAGGAAAAACAAAGCTCAGTTCTCCATTATAGCTCAGTTTCGTCTGCAGTCCATTTTTCCAGAAGACTTCCTCCGAGATAGGGGTGTGTGTGTGTGTGTGTGTGTGTATGTATTTGAAGTCTTAGTGTTCTTTTCTGACTCCAGCACTAAATTGCTTCAGTTGCTATTGGAAGAATGTTGCACGCCCCCCACCCCAAGCAGCAGAAGGGGAAGTGTGTGCACTTGAAGCAAGCTGATGGTCATTTGAAACTATGAAGTATGTTCTTCACTTAGCTCAGAAGTGCTTGCTTAGAGTAATAAGTTTTGTAGTTTCTTAGCTCTCCTGCAGGTATACCCATACAGGTTCTTGTGGCAACAAAACACATACAGACTGACCAAAATCTTGCCCAATTATGCATTAATTTATTTCCATTGAAATCTACCAGATACTCTAGCTCTTAATTGAGGGTAAAAACTGGCTTGATTAACCAAAGCAAGAAATGTGTGGCTTGAATCAAAACACACCAGAATGAGACTATACTCTCAAAATTAGAGATCTTGCAAGACAAAAAAAAAAAATTCCCCAACCAATCAATATATCTATTTTTTTATTTTGTTTAAAACAGGCTTGTGGATTTAGGTAGCTATGAGGCAAATTCAAAGACTTTTGTTTCTTACTTTCTACTGGGAAATGGTTCAAATATTCATATAAGGTAAATATTTATTTATTCATATATAAAATTTAGAAACCATCCATCTGATAATAATATGGGATAAATAAGGAAGAAGAGTGGAACAAGTGGAGAAAAAGAATTAACGGGGATTTCAAAAAGTAATAATTAAAAAAAACAGTTCTGCACAATGAGGAATGTCAATTCTTAGTAAATTTTGACACACAGGTTAAGGAGTATAGGTGGCATAAATTCAGGCTCAACAATCTACACCTAGAAACAAGTGCAAGAGAATTTTGCTAAGCATTCTACAAGACCAAGAATAGACACCCATGAGTGATATTTTAGATTAGGCTGACGGTGTATGCACAAGTAATAGCAGCTGAAGTGGGTAGGTAGATGAAAAGTCCTCTGTTCATTGAAAGATCAACTTTTCTGAAGTTCAGCTAGAGTTTTTGTGATTTTAGGATTAAACCTGCCTGCTTCTTCTAACCCTGTGAGTTCATCCTTTCCGAAAACGTTGCCTGCATCCTTCACAGTCCAAGGTCAGGAGTGCATTTCCAATATTCTCAGGTCACCAGCTAAATATAGTGCTGGCAGGTTTAAGGAAGGCTTTTCTGGGCAGAAAGAAGACATGGAGTCCCATATGAAGCCTTTTGCTGAGAAGTATAGCTGTTCCTGACAGAACTGCCCCATTCAAAAAGCTTAGCCTTCAGCTTATGCTTTGACAATAAATATCTTCATTTACAGCTGAAGGCCATCACCACTAATTCCATTCTTGTCTAAGGAAGAACCTATGGACATAAGCCAGTCATTACTGAATTTTCATTATGGTTCTGGGAGGAAGAGGTTATTTTATAGCAACAATATTGGTCAGTGGATAACTGTAAATCCACTTTAATCTTTTTTCCCTCTGGATAATACTAATAGAATCAGCTAGCTTCAAAGCATTCTATTCTCACAAAAACCAGTTTGGATTTGTCAAATTACAGATCAAATATGCATGATTCAGAACTTTTGTTTTAAATTCAGAAGAAAACATGCTGTTCTGCTCTGACCTCAAAAGAAAATCAGCCTAAATTATTTGGAGAGAATGGAAAAAGAAATAATACATTTGGTTCAGCAATCCTACATATTCTCGTTATACAACCCCTGCTTTTACTAAGTTGTTCTAACTGGCAATTAAGATGTAATTTTACTAAATAACTGAAGAAATGTTAATTAGCATTCTTTGCCTTATGTGATATGTTGGCTGGGGGGCAGGGAGATGTTAGTTAATGAATTATACTCTATATTGAAAATCCAAAGAGGGAAGAAGATTTTTCTGATAACAGATTTAGTCAGTAAATGTAATGAAATATTTTGCATTTTATTTCATCCCAATGCTTCATCTGTAGCTCAGTTAATGTGCCTAGAGCTTTGCAGTTAAGGGATTCTTTCTATATATAAATTGAACTGAAAATTCCCAAGAAGGCTGAACTCTTCTGAAATAAGTCAACTGGATTTATTTTAAAGAAAATATATTTAGAATGGGGAAAACTGATTAAAATACACAATTATTCCTTTTTAATTATCTATTCAATAGATTCTATGGGATTGCAGCCAGTTTGGTGTAGTGGGAAAGGCACCAAACTAGAAGGCTGTAAGTTTGAGTCCCAACTTAGGCATTAAGTGAACTAGATGTTTTGGGGCTAGTTACTCTTTCTTGGACCTAGGAAGAAGGCAAAGGCAAATCACCTCCAAAAGCCTTCCCCAAAAACTACATGGATTTGTGCAGGCAAATGTCAGGAGTCAAGACTGATTCAAGCAAAAGCCCAAGCATATGGGATAAAGCTCTGACCTCAAACTATTCTCCAAAGCACCAGAGGGCAGGACAAGAAGCAATGGATGGAAACTAATCAAGGAGAGAAGCAACTTAGAACTAAGGAGAAATTTCCTGGCAGAACAATTAATCGGTGGAACAACTTGCCTCCAGAAGTTGTGAAAGCTCCAACACTGGAAGTTTTTAAGAAGAGATTGGATAACCATCTGTCTGAAGTGGTGTAGGTTTTCCTGCCTAGGCAGCGGGTTGGACTAGAAGACCACCAAGGTCCTTTCCAACTCTGTTATTCTATTCTATTCTACTGCATAGTGGCCCCTTCAATGGTTGTGGATTAAATGGAGTAAATACATCTACCACTAAGTGGAGCTACTTTTAAAGATCAATTGGAAACTGCAATGGATACAAAGTGAGCAGACTGTGTGGTGGAAGGTGTCAATCACCTAAAGCACATGATCCTTGTGCTTAAAGACCAGCACTGTAATAGGTATCACCTGCAATTTGAATGACCTATAAGCCCCTTTATAACTTGGCACCAAAGTACCTTGACACTGTATTCTCCAATTATAATTGACCAGTCCAATTGTCAGGATTCCAGCAGTTACTCCAATTAAATCATGAGCCTTGAGCCACACTCCCAAAACTAAAAAAGATTTATTTGAAGTTAACATTCTACATCCAGCATTTACCTGGGCGTAGCCAACTCTGAGATATGTAATTCATTGTCACCCTTGATCCTGTTTTCCCCACACCCCACCCCTCTGGGTGTATCATCCAATGAAAAACATCCATAGCCAAGAGTCATCAATCATGCTCTCCAATTAGATTTTTGCGTGACAGAAGCTTCAGTCATCTAATTAGTCTTTGAAGAAAATATGAATGGAATGTACTTTCAATTCCACACTGCTGCCTGCTTTTTGAACCCCCCCCCCACTTCTTTCTGTTGTCAACTATAAAACATGTATACAAAATGTTTTATGAGTTGACACCAATATTATAGAACAGCCTCCCTTTCTATTTCAGATTTGCTTCAAAACAAGTATTAAAAACTGTATCGCTCCAGAAGACCTTGGATGGTTTAATGTTGTCTTCCTTGGCTCATTCTTAATTGTGTGGTTTTTCTTTTATGTTATATGTGTGATAAATTTACTGAAGAGGATTGTAATTGTTTTAATCTATTGTGAGATTAGAGTTTTTAAAATTCATACCCTGGATAATTTAAGTTTGTAATGCTAAAGTTATTTTAGACTTACTCTGGATGTTTGTTTTAGTGTTGCTATGTTTGTCATACCATGAATTTTTTAATTGTGCTATAAGCCATCATGGCAGAGTTGGTGGCGTATCAGCTTAAAATCCATTAGTCAACAATCAATCAACTCAGGCTTGCTGCAGGCCTCAAGTAATCTCTCCCACACAATTGAACCCTTACATGAGGCTACTGAGAAAGTCATTCATCAGTTTGCAGTTGACATTTGCCTAGCAACCATATGGTGGTTCTATGGCTACTCTGCTATTTTTGGTGTGCTCTGTAACAGCAGGTCTTCAATTTGTAAGTCCTCTTGGATTTGCAGTTCCACTTACATCAGAAGGTGGAAACTCTAGCCAAAAGGTCTTTGCTCAGTTTTTTTTATCAAGAACAAGTTTTATTGATTTTTGAAGACAAACAAAACATAACACATAAAAGTATAAAACCTCCTTTCTAAGAATTACTTATAAATTTTAACAAGGCAAATAAAGCATTATTTTTTAAAACAGTTCCACATTATCACATTTCCATTTACACAGATATATCTTTTCCAAATTTCTCATTATTTCTCCCTTCACTTTTGTTCAATTATATTTCTTTCTATCAAAGTTTTAGTAATTCTCAATCAGTCATAAGCACATAAAATACATAACCTAAAGCAAAACATTTTTTAAAAAAACCTCCTTAGTTGTCATTTATACATGTCTTTTCCCAATTTCTCTCCCTTTGGTTTCATTCCTCCAAGGTTTTATTAGTTTACAATCAAACATAACTAATCAACACACAAAACATAAAACGTAGAACTTCTTTTGAAAAGTGGCTTAGCCCCGGGTTACATCTTTTTTGACAGACCTAAATCAAATTCATGCTCACCTTATATACCCTTCATATCTTATTAACCATTTTATATTTTCTATATAATTCTCCCATCTTTTCACTCTCTTAATTATGTTTTATTTATTTCATCTTATTTCAAAATCATTATGCTTATATCTTTTGTCCGTTCGTTACCAATCATCTATTTATCTCTTCTCTTTAACAAAAAATTTCCCCTGTAATCATTTTTAAAGTATGACACCTTCCCCTAAAGTAAAACTTAAAATAATACATAATTTCCATCCTGGTTCTGCTTAGTACATTCTACATATTAAATCTTAAAATAAAAGAATAGTAAACTTATAGTATAGTTAAATGTATAATTTCCATTCTAATTCTAATTCTGATAAGTACGTTGTTTTAGAATAAGAAGATAAAATACTAAGGTTATAATAACATTAAGACAATAACAAATTAAAATATAACTAAGCATTAATCATTTTACACATTCTCCTTAATATTTTCTTAAATATTAACATCTATCATTATTAAACATTAATATTTTATTAAATATTCCAATAAACTATTTCAAACGCAAATACTACAATACTATCTTATGCACTCTTGCATAAGAGTGCATAATTATGCACTCTTTAATTATGCACTATCCATTATCCTTTATCTCTGAAAAAAAATTTCTTTTTGAAATCTTGTTCTAGCCCGTGGCTTTTTTTTTTTCTTTTTCCCTCCCTTTCTTCTCCAATCTGGTCTTTTTGCCCCCCCCTCCTAGCCTCCCCTTTTAACTTCCCCTCTCTGTTGTAATTCTCTTTTCAATTGCTTTCTAACATTGTACCTTCTTTTCACCCTATTTTTCTTTTTCTTGGTTGTTTCATTAAATCTTAAATTCTCATTTTTCCTTCCTCTCTTCCCATTTTCTTTCTTAATCGAACTTTTTAGTCCATTAAACATGGCTTCTTCCTTTTCTTCTTCTTCTTCTCCTTCTCCTTCCTCAAGTATTTTCTGGTACATAGAAACTGCCATTTCTAAAAAATGGAAGGCAGCTCCCAAGGAATCCTTGCCATTTTGCTGTCTTTCTTTTAATTTTTCATATTCCATTTTTAGTTCATCAACAGATGGTGCCATTATAGGTTTTTAAAAACAACCCAGATGCTTTCAATCTTAAAGTAATTTCCAAATGTCAGAGTTATCAAACAATCCAAACAAACAAAAATTATTTCCTCTTCTTCTCTTTACAGTTTTTCCTCCAGGGGCAAAATCCCAAATGTATTTTAAAAGCCGTATTACAATTAATTGATGGTCTTGTAATCTTCAAGGCGTCTCCTCCAACAAAGTTTTTTAAAAAAAAAATTTTAGTCCTCTCCTTCCCACTTGTAACAAAGAGCTTATTTTTACCTTTATAAAGCAGGTTTTTCTGTGCTCCTTTGCTTTCTCCATAAGGAAGGGGAGTGAACTTTCCTTCAGCACTTTCGCCGATGTAACAAATTCTTTTGGAAACAAATGTATCAATCCAAAGTCAGGTTTCCAGGGTGTTTTAAAAGTAACTTAATGTCCCAGTTCAGCCAAGAAAACTTCTCCTTCTGGCTCTTCCTCCTGCGCAATCTTATCCGGTTGAAGATTTCTTTGTGGCTGCCATTACTGACAGCCGCTCCACCACCTCAGGAAAAAGGAGTCTAGACGGCTGGGGAAAGGGGGTGCGATATCCCCAGACCCCTGCCCGGATCTCCTCTGTCTTCCGCTGCCCCTTCAGGGCAGCGACAACCCCCAAATCCAGTTGGATCGGGGGTATCTCGGCGGCGAGCGCAGCAGGGACCCGCAGAGAAGCGGATTCCTGCCGCCGCCGAAGCCTTGCAACCGGAAGTTGGTCTTTGCTCAGCTTTGTTGGTGCACAGAAACAGCCCTTTTGGGAGTGGGAGTTACTCCATAGCAGTTCTCATCACTTATATCTAGGCCTACCCTTTGAAGATCACCCAGAAATTGAAATTGATGCAAAATGCAGGCTCTCAGTAAAGATGCTGAGCTTGTCATTTGGACAGCTGACAGCCTGGATATGAAATCCAAGTGCTGCACAACAGGGTGACCTCTTGTTACTTGCCCCAGCTCCTACCCACCTAGCAATTCTAAAACATGCAAACGTGAGTAGATTAATAGGTACCACGTCGTTGGGAAGGTAACAGGATTCCATGCGTCCTTGGTGTATAGCCATGCTGGCCACATGACTGCAGAAAATGTCTTGGCTGGCTCCCTTGGCCAAGAAACAGAGATGAGCATCGTGCCCTAGAATCAGTCATGAGTGCACAGAGAAACCTTCATCTTTACCTGCAGCACTCTACATGCCAATGGGTACATACAAGTTTAGCAATATCACATCTATTTTACTAATTCTGCAGAGGCTTTGAGTAGTATCCAAGTATAACTCAATGTGAAACTATAAAGATCATCTCTTCCAATTTGACTCTGACTGATCTGGCTGTTCTCTTCAAGAAGCTGCTACTCTCATTTGGGAGGGGGAGGTAAAGACTAAAAACAATGTTGTTCTTTAGCTTATGATTGTAAGCCACCTAGATTCATTCTGCGATAAGATAGCCAGCCAATAAAGTTAATTAATTAATTAATAAGCAAGCAAGCTGTACTGAATCTGTGAAATAAGCTTCCCTAAGATCTGACTGTCTCCCAAAATCATTTTTTTCTGACAAGCTATTTGACATTAACATCTATGGTATTATTTTCTGATCAGCAGTGAGCTATGATAATTTTGCTTCTTCTTAGAATTGTGATGTTATTGATGCTTATTGATCTTATTACTTGATTTGTGAACTGCCTTAGAGATTGGCTCTTATGGTAATATTGAAATTGTGGGGGGAATTAAAAATGAATCCCTCTATTGTCTTCCAAGCTCCTGTTGGCATAACAGCTATTTTCATAGCCCTGGCAACAGACTGCTGCCATAGGAGGATCCCAGAAGCTGGAAGCCAAAGAGAGCCAATCACCTACTTCAATAAGACCCTTCTTGGAATGCAAGGCAGTATTATGCTGCTACTTCTCTCTTAATAGTCTCAGCTTGAAATAGAGTGTCTTTGTTGGTGACTATGATGCTATTGACCCAAGAACAATCCAGGAACTATGGCAATTGTAACAATCCAGTTGTGGTATTATATCATTAATAGTGGGCTCATTTTGGTCCCTTGTCTCTCCATTTGAAATTTGAAAAGGGCCAATTGCTAAATGCATCACTTTGTATTATTATTTAGCTTTCCACTGGGATTTAAACTCTCTTTTTCATCTGACATTGATACTCTCATTTATAAGTTTTAAAAATGTGGTTTGCGTGGCATTATAGTAAAATGTATCTATGACTGGCTGTCTGATTGCAGTAAAAGAATCTGCACTAATGGTTCTATGTCAGGTTGGGTAGTGGTGAACAGTTGGTCCTGCAGAGATTTGACTTTTGCCCATATATCATTCAACATTTGGATTTATTAGCTGGATAATGGAATTGATGGGCTACTTATCAAATGTGCAGATCACAAAGTTGAGAGGTCTGGCCATTAGCTATCTATGTGGGGCAGGTTGAAGAGCTGGTTGAGAAGTAGATGTCTTTCAATAAGTTAAAATGTAAAATATTATCTTTAAAGAGAAAAAATGTAGCTCATTTTCCAGGATAGATTAGAAACATGTCATTGACAATGATAGCTGATAACAGCTAGCAGGACTATTCTGAGCTGCATTAGATCAAATAGCGTACCAAAGATATGCAAAGCCCTTATTTCCACCTAGAAACTGTTGTCTCTTTTCCCAGTAGAATTAGTTTGCTGGCAAGCTTTATTTATGTATTTATCAAATTTCTACACCTATTTAAATTTTTGCTGGTAAGTTTTAGCACTGGAAACAAATGGAGGCAATGGAAAAGTAAGTGGGTGTGTGAAGACTGATCAAATCTTGTTTTCCTTGCAGCTGGAAATATGTTTCCCCTTCCGCGTTTGTACCTCAAAAGCGAGCAGTATGAACCAATTCAAGCCATTGTGAAAGAGATTCATGGAGAAGAGGGTAAATCAGCTTTGACTGCCATAATTTTCTAGATTATTCCTACATAACAGGCTTCCCTAGCATTTTAGATCACTGCAGGCCCTTACAAAGCTGAAGATGTGAATATTACAGATGAAACTGTGAAGGTTTCCTAACATCACATGCCTGTTTATGAGTATATTCTACTGAGTAGAATGTGCTGTGAAATTCAGGCAATTGTGAATTAATGCTCATCTTCAATAGACCTGAGGATGGCCTAATTGCAGATATTCAGAGAGGCCCTTGTAAAAGGCAGTTGATAAGAGAGATTTGTACTTACCAGCAACAAACAGGATGATTCTTCCCTTGTTGGTTATGGTTCTGCCTTAGCCAATATACATTGGGTGGAGATAGATGTGTTCACATTAGAGTGTGCCTTCAAAGCTATTTCTGCCAATAAAAAGTCCTTTCTCTGTGAACAAGTGGAGTTGTTATTGTTGTTGATGTTAGTTGCGAAGTCATGCCTGACTCATCACGACCCCATGGACAATATTCGTCCAGGCCTTTCTGTCTTCTACCATCTTCTGGAGTCCATTTAAGTTCACACCATCTGCTTCAGTGACTCCATCCAGCCATCTCATTCTCTGTTGTCTCATTCTTCTATTGCCCTCAGTACAAATGGAGTATCAGCCAGATATACAGGGAAATGTATATTTGATTTCAATCATCCCTTTACAGGTAATCCTTGACTTATCACCACAACTGAGCCCAGAATTTCTATTGCTGAATGAGACATTTGTTAAATGAGCTTTGGCCCATTTTACGACCTTTCTTGCTACAACTGTTAAGTGACTCAGTGCACTGGTTAAGTAACTAACACAGCTGTTAGATGAATCTGGCTTCCCCATTGTCTTTGCTTATCAGAAGGTCACAAGAGGTGATCGCATGACCCCAGGACACTCCAACCATCATAAATATGAATCAGTTGCCAAGCATTTTGATCACATGACCTGCCACAGGTCATCGGTCACTTTTTTTCAGTGCCGTTGTAACTTCGAACAGTCACTAAATGAACTGTTGTAAGTCGAGGACTACCTGGATTTTACAAAGCCTAGCGCTAGGAGAGCCTTGAGGAATATTTGTTCCTGTTCATCTGGAAAGAGGTGTGCCCATGTGTTTGTTTTTAGTAGGCCACATCCTCAGCTATAAAAACCAAGGATCCTTCTAGAGAACAAACATCCAGTAAACACCAAGGAAAACAAGCAGAGAATTATGTTGAAAGTCTCTTGTTGCAACAACTCCCCTCTCTAGTTACGATAGGTCTAATTCCTATACACACTCTGACTACAGGATTTTTTTTTTGTTAAATGTGCAAAGAATGGCAACAGGTGAAACAAATGCACCCATATTTCTTAATCTGAATATATATTATTTCTTTTGTCTTCAGCTCCAGAGTTAGACTTGGGAAAGAAGGTTAGCACTCCTCAAGACTTAATGATGGAGGAGTTGTCCCTGTCCATAAACAGGGGATCGAGGCTGTATCAACAAAGACAGAAGAGAGTGCAGCGTTTTGTGCTGGAGAATCCTACAGGCTACAGAGCTGTAAGTCATATTAGCGTGCTAGGAAAAAATTCTTATCAGGATGTCAGTCGGGAACAAAAACAGGAAGTGGCAATGCAGGTGCCCCACTTAAAGCAGAACAAATCAACATTTATTTTCACTTCAGACAGTGTAATTTAATCATAACTATGAAGTTTCTAAGCACAACTGCTTGGACCTTTCCCATCTTGAAGCAGCCGGAGTAGATTTGTAGGAGGCAGACCAATGCAAACCATAATCGTTGCTTGGCTTGAAGAATAAATTACTTGATAGATTATTAAGATAGAGCAAATCCAATTAGATTAGAGTAGAAATTCCTTGAGAAATTCTTCTGGCATAAAGAATTATAATTAAGCTTAAATTACTAGCTACTGATTAATTCTCCATCCATCTATCCATCTGCACACAAATATTATGCTTGGAAGAAATTATTCCATCTCCCATATGGATTCTAAATTAATATTAGCTTAATGTTATGGGAATGCCCATAGACCACTTAGATATCTGCATTATACATTCTACTAGTTTGCAAGTTTAATTGACAAGCTTTTATTCAGATTATTAGCAAACTGACATATGCTTTCTGCATTCAGGTCTTCAGTCTGGTTCTTCCTGTCCAAATATGATATTCTTTGCTTTCTCTTTCTAGGCCTCCTGCATGGCAAGTGGAGGCTCACACCCAGAATACAATGGAGTGGAAACAACCAAAGGATGGAGGGTAGGTTTAGTTATTTGATCTGTACCTGGGATAGTATCATATAGTTCAGGGGTCCCCAACCACCGGGCCCTGGACCGGTACCGGTCCGTGGATCATTTTGTACCGGGCCACAAAGAATGAAAGTAGGCCTACTTTGCTTGGGCGCCTCCATCTTGTTTCAATGGTGCTTGAGAAAGTGCTTCTGGGTGAGCTTGTCGGTCGTCAGTTGGAAAGCGGCGTTTGGGTGCTGAAGGAATCCTCGTGCCTTAGTTTTGTCGAAGAGGCGGGGGCGGCTTCGAACGAAGAGCCGTCCCGATGGTGGTGGAGTTTCGCGTTACTCAGGAGGAGATTAAGAAAGAGCCCAAAAAGCCCATCGACCACGAGAAGGTACAAAGGAGGAGTTGAAGGTGGTGGGGAGAAGCGAGGGACGGCTGGCTGGCCGGTCGCTCGGCTTGCCTTGCCTTGGTCGTGCGTGCTGATGCCAGTACCGGTCTGTGGATCATAATCGTGAAACTGGTCCCTGGTACAAAAAACGTTGGGGACCACTGATATAGTTGGCCTGGAATTTAGTGGCTTAGAAGCCTTAGAGTTTCCCTCTGTGGCAGTTCTCTGTTTGCACAGGTGCCATTTTTGGTTAAAGCTAATGAGTTTGAATGAACTTTCCAAGGTAGTATTTCAGTATTAATGGAAATAAAGTAATCATGTGTAAACTTATCCATTAGAACATAACTGAAGCAAAATCCAATTTCACACCAGAGTATATTTGCATATGTAGCAAATTCCAGGCCTTGCTCCAGATTTGTTCCGAAGCATCTTTCTGAAGAAAATTTCATTAGCATAAGTAACTAATTGACTCTAACCCATCATCCCTTTTCTTAATGTCCTGTCTTTTAGTTGCCTCTATAAAAATAAATATAAAATGCTGAATGTAGTATGCCCCGGGTGAAAATTTTGTTAAACCAAACAACTGTCTGAAATTAGTTTGTAGCTTTCTTCTAACAGTGTCAGACTTCATAGGCTATACACTCCTATATTTCCTGAATTTCTTTTTTCCTATGGAATCCTGGCAATGGTTGTAGCAGAACTTTCTAAGACTACACTTATCACTGGGCGTGGGGATGGTGGCTTCATGAAACATGGTGTCACATGAACCCTCTGGCTACCGATAGGTTTAATAAGGAGTTTTGGTAATTTCCCCTTTTTAAAAAATTGATAAATTTTAGTGCTTTTGTGACAGTTGTCACAGAACAGCAAGACCTTTTTATTTCACCAACTGTAGTCACAAGGGGCTTGAAGAAATACCAAAAAAGGGTGCTTCAGAGTGCCCACTCTTGTAAGGCTGATCAATTACCAGGCTATAATGCACTGGAAGACTCTTTGAAGGAAGCTATTATGGTGTTACCTGACCTACTTCATAGATGAATCTCCTTTATTGCAAATGCTATCAATAGACAGTCCTCTGTTTTTAGGCATCCTCCCCATTCTTAATACTCTATGTTAGTTCGAAAATTTGTAAGCACACAGATAGCATTCTCACAAGGCATGCAAGTCATATGTTCCTGTAGGGTGAGATATACAAAATATTTAAATTACAGTAATTATGTCTGTATTTGCATCTGTCTATACAGTTAAACATATGCACATTTTATGCAAATCGGTGTCTTTTTGATCATACTTTTTTGTTTGGGTAATGTGTAATCACTCTAGAAACCATGATAGCATGAGGTTGCAATATATAAATATATTTTCAGCCTTTAGCAATATTGTTTCAGTAGCAGGAAGTATGTGGAGTTAGTCTTGTGGGATTTTTCATTTCATTTTTATTTTTTGCAATTCAAGGTAAATCTGGGACAGTGGGAAGAGAATAATAAATGGAAGATTAACAGCAGATTTGGGGAGGGGAAATGTTTGTGTATAATGGCAATGGATGAAATTATCTTTCCACATGGGGGAGAATGGTTTAAAAGCAGTTTACTCATCACATTGCCTGAAAAATTATTTTGTCTTGGCCTACATTTTTCCATTGCTTCTAGACCAGGGGTCTCCAACCTTGGCAACTTTAAGACTTGTGGACTTTAAGGCATTCTGGGGAATTCTGTGAGTTGAATTCCACAAGTCTTAAAGTTGCCAAGGTTGGAGACCCCTGGTCTAGACAATCTGGTCCTAATTGGGTACTCTGTCTAATAGAAAATATTTACCTCTTATGCATGTTCTCCTTTGTCTGCTAGCTTGCTCACTCCACAGAGGGCAAAGAGAACTATCAGAATGACATAAATCACATGGAGGCTTCTGGAAAGAGAGCACCTCCCCAAGTACCACAAAAAACAGACAAAGTCTTGAGGATGAGCAAAGCCCTGAACCCCAGTGCAATTGCTCCAGGTAAGAAGCTCTTCACCACTCAAAGCTGTCCTTAGCCTCAAGGAAGAAAGGCTTGCTGGACTTGGTTCATAGGCTTTCATAGGAATTCCCACATATCACATTGGCTGATTTAGAATACTTAGAACTTGATAATATCTGCATGTTAGAAAATGCTACATTGATTAGTCCACCATAAACTCAAAAATAAAAGGTGAGTAGCTGTGGTGGAGGAGGGAGCATAAATGTCCACACACTCATGACAGGGCTCACTCGAAGTATATAATCTTTACCTTATTGTTCACATTGTTCATAGTACCACCATGGGGAGGTCAGTGTTATTTACATTATGAGCTACTGTTTATTAGCAGCAAAAGGGACTTACTTAAATGTGATCAGCCTGGAAAGACAACTGATGGAACACCATCCTTCTCTTGATAGTAGATGATAAGGAATATAGACAGTCACCTGTGCTCAAAAACATCCAGTCAGATCGGATAGTTGTCCATTTCCTTGACACTTTCATCCGATACAGTTCTTGTTGTTGCTGAATAAGTAGGAAGGCAGGTTGATTTTGATGGAGAAAGATCCAATAATGTCATTTTATACACACACACACACACACACACACACACACACATACCTTCTCCCAATAAGGGCTACTGTAAACACTCGTAATTGTCCCCGGTTTTTGCTTATCATCTGTTCTCAAACAACTCCTTGCTTATTGTCCCAACATAGAATTTCTTTGATTGAAAAAGTGATACTACATTTCCAACATTTTATCTCAACAATTTTGAAGGATAGCCCTCATCATCCTCATAGTCCTGTTCTGATTCATCTCCAGTATAAGCTGGGAGCGTTTTTAAACCAAAATGGAGCAGAGGATTGTCCACCCATGGTTGGCAAATCGTGATTGATTAGGAAATTGATGAGTAACTTTTAAAAAAATGAAGCCTTAGTTTTAATTATAAAGGAGCCAAGGCTGATTGTCCTTCTGATACACTCACCCACTTGAGACAACGAATGAAGGGCAGAAGTGCAACAGGAATGACAGCCATTAACTACTTTTTGGTAGCAGTTGAAGTTGAATTCATAAATACATACTGTAGTGCCAAAGTCCCCAAGAAACTGCAAATTGCAACAACTGTCACTGATAACAAGGTTAAAGGAGAGTGAAACCGAAGAAGCACTCTAGAAGCAGAACATGTTGCTGATGAAGATTTCCCACAACTTGGAACCAATGAAACCTATTTTTCTCGATCACATGTGCTAGCGTTTTCCAGAAATAAGCAATTTGAAACCCTTCATTGAAGTTTTGGCATCACATTACTTAAAACAGTTGTTTTATTGGACAATCCATATTGCAGGCTATTCTGGACCACTAAAAGAAGTTCCACCAGAGAAATTTAACCGAACTGCAATCCCCAAAGGTTATCAGTCTCCCTGGGGCAGATTCTTCTGCAATGCTGATCAAGTAGATGTGGAAAACCATTTGCCTGAACCCACAAAAGTGAATAATTTGGACCTTAGGAATTTCAACAGGTAAAAAGGCTTGCTCTGTTTCTTTTGTTTTTTGCATAAACTCCATAGATGGTAATCAGGTTGTTCACCCCTTTCCTATAAGACTTGATATGCATATTTTCAAATATTAGCACTTTAAAGCATGCTAGAAAAAAGATATCCTTCCTGAAGCTACTCACTGGTATCCTTTACTATGGACCACACTGGTTAAGGCTGCTATGGGTATAGCTCATCAACATGTTAATTTTTTGTGATTTTACAAGAGCAGATTCCTTGTTTTTCTGAGAGTCTGCTGAGCACAGAAGCCAGAGCAATTAACAGTCTGAATCAGGGATGGGATTCTACCGGTTCGGACCGGTTCATGCGAACCGGACTTTAAAGTTACAGCTGGTTTGCGGAACCGGTATTTCAACTGACCGGCTGGCCCTGCCCCTCCCTTCCCAGGAGTCTCCATGTGGCCCATTTTCAGTGGAGGTAAGTGCAGGGTCTGCGCGGAGGCTCTGAGGGGGAAAAATAGGCCTTTTGGAAGTCTGGAAACGGGCCTGTTTCTGGCTTCTGGAGGGCCTCCAGAGTATGGGGAGGCCATTTTTGCCCTCCCAGAAGGCTCAGGGGAGGCCTCTGGACCCTTGGGAGGGTGAAGCTGGAAGTTGCAAAACAGGCCTGTTTCTGACTTCCAGTGGGCCTCCAGAGGCTGGGACATGCTGTTTTTGCCCTCCCGGAGGCCCAGGGGAGGCCTCTGGACCTTTGGGAGGGCGAAAATGGCCTCCCCCAGGCTCTGGAGGCCCACCAGAAGGCGGAAATAGAAAGTTCTAGTAGGCCACACCTACCGTGGCCACAGCCACCCATCAATCGGGCAGTGAACCGGTTGCTGGGATTTTTGAATCCTTCCCCTGCTCTGAATCATTGAGAGGACTTTATGGCCAGTGAGCCTTGCAGGAAGAGGAGCTTTCAGGAACATTCATGACCTGGACTGATAGGAAGTATTCTAGAATAGGGGTCTCCAACCTTGGCCACTTTAAGCCTGGAGGACTTCAACTCCCAGAATTCCCCAGCCAGCTTTGCTGGCTGAGGAATTCTGGGAGTTGAAGTCCACCAGGCTCAAAGTGGCCAAGGTTGGAGACCCCTGCTCTAGAAGACCACACTGAACACCAAGGTGAAATTTTGAAATGCTTACCCTGGGATATGCACATGGAATATTGCGCTGTCCTAATTAGTCCTTTCTGATGTTAACGCAAAATTACCCAGATATATTGTAAATAACAAATATTTTGGAAACTCCATCTGGGCTATTATGCTATGATTTCTAAGAAGGCATCATCCTGGCTTCCTGACACATTCTAAACCTGAATCAGAGAAGACCACTCTAAAATGCATGGAACCATAATTTAAAAACAATGGAGATTATTTGATGGGCATAATCTTCTTTATCTATACCATAGAATGGGCAATTAATTTTCTCAAGGGACCACATAAGAAATGAGATTGTTGTGAAGGGCTGCTGCCACTGTTGCCCCATCTGCCCTGAGGATATCCTGCTCTTTCCCAATAAGGCTGCCTCCTCCAATACCGCAGGCCGGATAGGGACAGCTGAAGGACCGGATATGATGCAAGGGCCATAAAATGCCCAGGTCTGCTCTACTATGTCCTTTCTTTGCACTCAGATGCATCCACCTACCTATACAAAATGTAAAAACAAAAATAATCCACAGATTTCACAGAAAGGAAAAATAAGCTCAGAGTCTCCAGAAAGTGAGAAGATGCCAAAAGTTGCAAGCTTCCATTTGCAGGCATTTGGTAATATAAAACAGAAATGGCTTAAAATCACTTCAGCCTTTATATTTCTTAGAAAATTTACAGCAACTGTTTCATTGGCTGGAGCTTGCTTGGAAACAAATCTTCTGCCCAATGTCACCAACTTAAGAAGTTGGCAACCTGCATAAACCATGATTTACTGCAGTTTAGGATAATGCATCTTGTGAGCTGTCAGATCCCTCGAGTAGCAAAAATGACATCAGGAAGCAAAAGATGCCTGAAATGGTATTTACTCAACCCAGAATTGAAAATACTCCATTGTTCATCCTGTGTTATTTCACTACAGAATTAAATAACTGTTTCGCTGGATGAGGTCAAAATAAGGTTTTGACAATAGACTCACTATTCTGGGTTGACTATTGGTCGAGAACAACGCCTTATTTGTTTTGTGAACATATACAAGCATACGTACATAAACCCACATCTTCACACCAGTGTACGTTGCAGAAAACACAATGGCTGTAATACAGTATACACAAACAATTCGAAAGAAATGTGTTTGCATTTCACACCAAGAAGTTCACTGGCTTATCTGCAAAGCTGATAAGAAGCTCACAGAACAAATCTGGCATTAAAAATTACTGAAGAAAAGAAACTCAAATGGAACATGCCCGTGATCACTTTTGCAGCCGTAATACAAAAACCGTGCAATGAAACTTGCTCGGCCAGAACATTTTAAATATTGACTAGCAAATCATGAGGAACTTCTAAATTGTGGCTTAATTTGCTACTGGTTAGCTGCATTCGACACTTGCAGATTGTGTCATATCAGCAGCAAATATTCCCCCCCCCCAATTATGTTTTCCTAATGCTTTGTTTCCCAACGGTCTTGAACTTCTCATCCTCCTTATAGGACTCCTACACCATTTGGTGGGCCATTACTGATTGACGCGTTCCCTGGGTTTGATGTAGTTGTGCCTCTGACAGATGCCATGAATGATGCGATGCTACTTTCCGAGAGACCCAGCTTCAACAGAGCACCTCAAGGATGGATACAGGTTATGCCGGAATCAGAGGATCTGTAGAGACTGCCTCATAGTTGTATCTCTTATCCCAAGATCAATGCCTGCTTGACGCCCAGTCATTAACAAATAATTACCAGAAGAGAAAATTTTAAGCACAAAATAAAACAAATCTTCTCACATCATGAAAGTAAAAAATAGCAGCTTTGGCTTATTGCTTATTGTTCAATGCTCCCGCCTGGTGCCATTTTGACTACAAACTGTAATAAACCATATAGTTCATAGTAGGATGATTGCTTAAAACAAGAAAGTAAAATCATTAAATCCAAAGAACAAAAAACCCAAAACTTTTTAAAACGAACATATATCTAGGGATATATGAGAAAATATAGTATCATAGTATAAAAGTATGCAGGGCATATAAAGCCTCTCTGATTGTGTTTACCTGTCCTATCAGATCCAGCAGAAGAGGCAAAGCTACAGGCCCCCATTTAGAATGCCATCTGGCAAAATCCAACAAAAGAGGTTTTCTCTCATGCTGGCTTGAAATTAGATTTGCCCTCAATAGTGGTAGCCTTTCATACAGCTTTCATGTCTTGGCTATTCCATCAGGAATGAGGGTTGCAATATGTAACAGAGCCTGTAGAATGATTCTAATGATAGCAAAATGTTTTTTTTTTTTTTAACCTTGCTACTGTTTACAGATTTATTGAGGTGTTATTTTTCTTTTGTGATCTGCTGATTGCCACTCAGATCCGTTTCATTAGATGGGTAGCTATCGAAATTGAAATTAAATAAAGCAGGTTGAAATGAAATGAATTTCATGTTGTTGTTTTGAAAAAATGATAGGTCAAATGTGAATTTATGTTTACATCTAGTTTATGTCTAATGAAATATCCAGATTTTTTTTTAGATCAAAGCCAAATATTGTAAGAGTTGCTAGAAAATAAAAAAAATATTACACCTATCACAACTGTTTTTCTTGTCTTGAGACTCATTTCTTTGAATTGTCGATGTTCACCTCCTTTATAAAACCTGGAAACTGAAATTGCCAAAGAGCATGAATATTACAACCCTACAATTTGACTTTCAGCTATGTCAACAGGCTTGAAAGTCAAAATGCATGGTGGGATAGGTTTACTATCTTTCCACCAGTCGGGATTTTGAAGCAAACACTGAAGAATATATATTCATTTTGGACAGCTGCAATTATGTAACTGCGGTCATTTCTCACCTGGACTATTACAACGCACTCTGTAAGAGGCATTGAAGTCCATTCGGAAGCTCCAGTTGATGCAAAGCGCAGCAGTGGAAGCAGTCTTTGAGGCTCCTAAGGATGGCCCATATTACACCTCAGCTCTGCAAATTTCACTGGCTATCAAACTGTTTCTGAGTACAGTTCAAGGTGTTATGCCTTTAAAGCCTTAATGGCATAGGTCCAGGCTGCCTGAACTGCATTGTCCCACTAGGAAAGCCTATCCTACTCATGCTGGCAGAGAGGTATTATTCAGATCCTGTTGGCCAAGGAACTCTCTCGAGATCCAGAACAGCCTTCTCTGCTACAGCACCTGTCTTTGGGACATCTTACTTTTAAAAAGTAACATTTGCACACACACCCCTTCCCTTTAGCCTTCCGCAAGAGCCTGAAGGCCGGGCTCTGCCGGCTGGTCTAGGAACCCAATGGGGACTTCCACAGTGGAGGTGGAGCTGGATTGATGGCAGACTCCACCTCTCCTCCCCTTGCAATCTGCTCTCCATCCATCCATCCTTTTGGCTTTCATGGATCGACATCAGCAATTATTGCGGGCCCAATTGGCAAAAGAAAGCTCAGGACCATATTACTTGGAAACATGCAGAAGAGGCCTTCATCCTGCAGTGGATAAGACAATGGCTAAAATGATGATGATTCTTGTTGTGTTTCTTGTTTATTTTATTATTTTACTTCTGTTTACATTCCTTTCATTTTTCTTCCTTTTTATTATTGTAAGCCAGGTAGAGTAGCCCCGTGGCAAGGCAGGCAGCAAATTAATTTAACAAATAAATAAACTAAAGGCTAGGTCCAAGCATCACTGAGAAAACCAATTAGGAATATTTTCTTCAAAAACAATGAACTTTGAGAATAGGTAAAAAATATGGTTTTCTTTACTAAGACACGTTACAGACCAAGGGCAAAGAAAGATGGTACAAAATAAATCGTGAAACACGTATCCAAAACAACCATCAGTAATCAAACATTTGAATTAGGAATAAACCAGACAAGTTATAGTAACAAATGAAGGCTGTGGAACTTTCAATCCGGGTCACTTCCTCTGTAACAGAGGATTAGCAAGCATGCAGAACTGCTGTCTCAACATTTTGATGACAGGTATTACAGCCAAGATCATGAATGACAGAAACAGCTTTGATACACCATCTGCATGATCTTCATAGGAGTCTGCTGGGACCTTCTACATTATGCCAGTCCAACTCGGTGCAAAGAGGAATCTGAATCTAATTTCAACAGTTTGAGTAACTGAGCTGTGAAGGTGTGTCCAAGACCTGAGCAGGTTTGGGTCAATTCTACTGTTGACTGACTGGCAATTGGCAGACTTAAAAGTAACCATAAGCCAAAAGACTTACCAGGGGTGTGCAAAATGGAATACATGTATGGTGTTTGCAACTCGAGCATTTTTTTTTTAATAAAAAAATCATAGCTGTACTGCTTCTTTTCTTTCTTTCTTTTTAACAGAAACCACCCTCCCCACCACCAAAGTTAAGATTTCTGGTTATTATACAAGGGATCGGTTTTTGTTGCTGTAAAACACAATAAGATTAAATCTGTGCTGGGTGCACAGAAAAAAAGGGAGATTTATTGGGTGTGATATGCTACAAATTTAAATGTCTTGTCAAAAGAAAAATAAGAAAGGAGAGTCAGCGGGGTTAGGGATTGTTGTGTTTTCCTGCATGTGCACCCATTCGTTGTGGATCTTGAGAAGGATAATGTATGGGGCCTGGAGCCCTCATGAAAGGAGGTGGAGGTCCCATTGCATGAAACATGTGTGGCCCAAAACCTGCAGGATAAAACAAAAACAAAAAAGATTATCTATGGACGATTCGTTTCCCATGTAAAAGCAAGATTTTTGCAAATAAAGGCAAGACTTAACAGTTTCTCTGGAATGTACAGGAAAGATTGGATTCCGAGCCGTAATATTTTTATTCACCCTAAATATATTTTGATTTAGCTATCGTGAATTAGCTGCATTTTTACTTTTAGTTTTATCGTTATTTCAAATCTACCACTGAAGAGTTGTTCATGGTTTATAATTTGCAAATTCAAAATAATAGTCACTTCAAAACAAAATATCACAAATGTATTGTTTAAAAAAAAGAATTAGGGTGGCAATTATATACAGGGGGGGCTCCTCGACTTACAACCACAATTGAGCCCCAAATTTCTGTTCTTAAGTGTGACATTTGTTAAGTGAGTTTTGCCCCGTTTTATGGCCTTTCTTGCCATAGCTTAAGTGAAGCACTGCAGTTTTTAAGTTAGTGACATGTTTGTTAAGTGAATCCGGCTTGACTTTACTTGTCAGAAAGTTGCAAAAGGTGATGGCATGGCCACGGGACAGTGCAGTGTCGTAAGTATGAATCAGTTGCCCAGCATCTGAATTTTAATCACATGACCATGGGGATACTGCAACTGTCCTAACTGTGAAAAATGGTCACAAATCACTTTTTTCAGTGCTACTGTAAGTTTGAACACTCCCTAAATGAGTGGTTGTAAAGTAAGGAGTAGCCTGTATAGATTTATATAGTAAAGTCTAAAAATCTTCTAGGAAAATGTATAATTCAGATGGCTTATTTTCTTATCACGAGACTTTTTGCAGTCTGGAAATGAAGAAAGCAAAAACTTGCTGAAATAACGAAGAGTTTTTAAAGTGATAATACCATCGCACGCAATTTCTGAAGATGTTCAGACAACAGAATATGCTATTCTATTTGTTTAAAGAACAGTAATCAAGCATCTGCTTCTCCAAGGATCAGAATTAATAATTACCTGGCGGTGGTGGCGGTGCGATGCCAGGTGGTGGCGGAAGGGCAATGTTTACAACAGCTGGAGGGCCACTGGGAGATAGATTGAAGTAATTTGCAGAAGCTGCTTCCTCTTCTGCTGCAGGAGGAGGTGGAAGAGCTGCAGGGCATAACATTTCAGTTAGTTGTAAAACTTTTTCCAGCGACCACAGTACAGTACCCACACGCCTGCACAAATTAGGTCAAGAAAGCGTCACTTCAATCTGTTTTCACAACAGGGTCTCCATTCCACCAGAAGAGAATAACTGTAGCTCAGGGTTGAACTGTGAAATTATTGCTAGTCTCTGAGCCTTGGCTGTTTGCAGATGTTTCAGTATCCTACTACCCTGGGAGCCACAGTGGTTAGAATGCAGTACTGCAGGCTACTTCTGCTGATTGCTGGCTGCCTGCAATTTGGCAGATCGAATCTCACCAGGTTCAAGGTTGACTCAGCCTTCCATCCTTCCAAGGTGGGTAAAATGAGGACTCAGATTGTTGGAGGCAATATGCTGACACTAAAATCACTTAGAGAGGGCTGTAAAGCTCTGTGAAGTGGTATATAAGTCTAACTGCTATTGCTACTACGTAGCATCATCAGCGTGAGTAAATGTGGGCTTTCCTGTCTTGTTTATAAGTAGTTTGCCCTGCCAGCAAATCTCACACTCAGTGTGAGGTTGTGTAATGAAATATCTGCAAACAACGAAACTCAGAGTGCCTTGAGAACACCTTCACAACATCTTCATTATTTACTAGAGATTCAACATGGATTGGGAGATAGGAGAGGCAGTGCACTGTAGCCTTACAGACTACTTCACAGACCTATTGTTATGGAAAGCCCATATTTGGAATAAACAACCTGTATCTCTTGAAAGGTTTCAGAAGCACTAAATATTGAGGTATCAAAAGCATTTGAATATGACCCTAGCTCTTTATCCTTCAAAGAACTAAATTAATAGGTTTCAAATAATAATCCAGGCCTTCATTCACAGACTTGTTCTAATTCATTATTCAATTGCCAATCAAACAGAACTCAAGACGTTCTACTTGTTTCATTCCCTTTTGGGGACATAACTGCCTTTCAAGGTTAGATCAAAAAACACAAATCCTTCTGTATTTTCCCTTTGCTAAGGCTGTCATAATAAACAGCTTTGGCAGAAGAGAACTGCCTTACCTCCAGGTAGACCAGGAACTGGTTCCAGTTTTAGACCAGATTCTGTAGTCCCTTCTCGTTCCTTTTCTTTCCCCCTGGCTGCTTGAGATCTGAAATCCAGGAAAAGATACCATAATTGATAAGTTACAAATAATTAACTTGTACTGGATGAAAGAGTGGAAGACAAATGTGTATTGCTTTCACTCTTTTTTCCTGACCACTCACTCACCTGCCCCACTTCACATTAAGCCTGCGGCCGTTCACAATGAGTTTGTTGAAGGATTTTTCTGCTGCTACTTCTGCGGCTTGTCGGGTAGCAAATTGGATAAATGCACACTGCTGTCTCTGGACCACTGTTATTGTCCGAATCTCACCAAACTGATAGAAGTGATTCCTGAAGAAGAAACATTATGATACTGTAATACAAGGTCTTTCTCACACACACAACGATGTAACACAAAACTAAATTGGTTTTTATATAGCCAGTAAAGAAAGTTTGCCTCTAAATTGTTCATCAATTAATTATATATATTTAATGCTATTTAAAATTCTGAAAAAAATCAATCTAAAATAATTTGTTTATATATGTATGTATGTATGTATGTATGGTATTCAGCTTTCTTCA